TCACATGAACCAGGAGTTTAACTATGTGCTTTCTGTCCCTGAAATAATACAAAGTGGTGCTCTGCCAGAAAACATACAGTGGTGCTCTGGAAAGTAAGTCAGATTAATCTTTTCTATTATAAAACAAACAAACAAACAACAACTTTCCAATGGATTATCTTTTTACTCAGCTAGGAGTCTTTGAAGATTTGGTCCCAACATATGTAGTCTGCAAGTCCATTAGCTCCAAAAATGACAACACATTAGAAAGAATCCAGAAGCTGATACACAAATACCTTTCATTATTAAGCCTGGCCAATTTTCTGTCAACAAAAATTATGCTTCTGAAGTGATGTGGAACAAGAATCAAACATGAAAGCGTACAAGTATCCACTTTTGAGCCCTTGAACAGTTACAAGAAGCCACTTCTTCCTGGTATTTCTGCTACACAGAATGAATTTTCATTATCTGAAGTATCTATTATCTAATGAATAAGAAACTTGCATTATGCAATAAAGTACAGCATGAACAAAAATCCTGGAAAACATGCATTATATCATGGTGAATTACTGTGGCAGAAATGGTGTTTTTAGTGAATTCTGTGGCATGGTTGATGTGTCACCAACTATATTACTGACATTGCAGTCAAACTTCATCTTGACTTCTAAACGACACAATTAATTTCACAAAAAATTATCTGCTGGTTGGGGAATATACATTTTTTTCATCGGGACATCATGCTCTAGATCCTTGGTTGCAGTTGAGGATTGCAGTTCCTGAATAATGAATGGTTCATGTGCAAAACCTATGGCAACTTGATGTTTTACCAATCAAAAATGGCACAAACAGTCCAAAACAAGAGGCAATATCTAGATACGTCAGGCCATCCCTGCTGTGGGAGGAATGAATTGCACATTAATTAATCTATAAGCATGAAATCCACAAGCACTGGAGTATAGAGTACCTCCAAAAGCTGAGACCTGCCCTGATGGCTCTTCCCTTCATAGCACCTTGGAGAAACTTTGGAGAAGATACATACCTTCAGCTCCCAAGAAAAGGGAGGCTATGCTTCGAATCTTGAAAGCTTCCTCTCTTGCTCAAGCATTTAAAGATGGCATCCAAGTCTTTGTTGTGTTCTCCCTTGCAAGTGTGTAATGGTTTTCCTACCAGCAGCAAAACCGAAAAGAGTCTGTGGATACAACTGAATGTACTACAACATATGTCATGATCAATCCCTGCTATTTCGTTCTTTTTGCACACAGGGAAGTACAAAAACCACTCCAGTTGGACCTTTCTTTGAAAGGGCAGCTCTAATGGTAGGAGTAGCCTAATAACTTATTAGGCTAAACACAGAGTTGCTAAGTAACATGAAAAGCCTGTGTCAGCTGAAAGAAACGTAAGAGATTTAGCTGTTTGGAAAACAGTGGCAATAGCTGAATTACACCATGAACATTAGAAAGAACAAGCACAAAGGCGAAGATGGGTGTAGCTCCAACAGAAGGAATTGTTGCTGGGTTATTGCTTAGTCAAGTGCTTCTAACATCAGATAGCAGGTGTGCAGATGTGCAGGGAGTGGTGCAATTAGCACTCCTCTCTGAGGAAGCCTGAGGAACCATAAAGAAGAGCAAAACATTGTTTACAGAAGCCAAACAGCCAAGGCTGAATCTGCAGTGATAACAAATCCATAAAGTTATACTGGAGCGGGAGTTTGGCAGAGTGCCTGTGACCATGGAAATAATTGATATTTTCAGTTAGGTGGCCAGAACTGAAAAGAAGAAAAAAATCAGTCTGAGTTGCCTGAAAACACTTTTTTACCTCTTTTCTTCAGCAAGTAGAAAAATAAACTGTCTTGAGATGGAGAAACATTTTGTTTGGCCCAAAACATCTTGCTCCTCCACATCTTTAATCAGAGCAAAATAAAAGGGAAATAGGCTCACATCTGGGCTCAGGAGTTACTCGCAATGCTAAGGAGGACACAGGTCCTGCTCCCCTTCTTTTTCAAAGCCCAGAGTCTCAGACCTTTCCCTGAGATATGGACAGAGCATGCTGGGGCACCCCAAAGGCAAAGGAAAGAAGTTTGAAAAGGAAGACTTTTGTCTTGCTCTACAAGGAAAGGTGAAGGGGAACAAGACCAGTTTGTCTATCCAGAGCAGGCACATCATTGTCTGTCTAATTTCTAGCTTAGAACAGGATCAAAAAACATACAAAGGAAAGCCTGGGGAAGAAGCCTGGGCATGGAATAACCTTTGTGTGAGGTGCTGGGAACAAGATAAGGCTCCGTTCAGGTAGGTGGAAAATGTGGGGTTACACCATGGGTTAGAGTGAAACCAAGATCAGCTAAAGCACTCAAGGTGGAATGGAAGGAGAAGCCTAGCTTTCTGCTTCTTCCATAGAATCTTAGAATCACAGAATCACCAAGGTTGGAAAAGACCTCCAGAATCATCCAATCCAACTGTCCACCTACAACCACTATTTCCCCACTAAACCATAAACCATGTACAATATCTAAACATTTCTTCAACACCTTCAGGGATGGTGACTTTGATTCTTTGTTTTTCTTTTTCTGTTGTCGTTTTGTTTTTGTTTGTTTGTTTTCCAAAGATTTATGAACTGGTTGTGGGGAAGAGACAGAAGAACAACAAAAAGGGGAGACTGGAAGACAACACACCAGCTCAGACTGGGCGAGAATGACTGGGTGCTGAGTGCCAGTTTTTGCTACAAAATTATTTTGCTTTGAATATGCAAGTACTTATAATCTGAGTGAAAGAATTTCAGCAGCAAAGAGAGTCAATATTCAAAATGGACTAAAAGTCAGTAGTGAGTGTCCCTTTTAAAAGTACAAATCGGACAGAAGGGTTGGGAGCTGGCTCAGCTCTCCTATCCCAAGTCTTTGTCCTCACATTTGGATGGTGAGCATCCATGTAAAGAAGCATGTAAGAATGCCATGGGGAATGGGGGAGAGAAGGAGGTAAAAAGGGTATTTTTAATGACTAACTATTCCAAATTCCACAGAATCTGGTATACCAGAGACCTCATCCCAACCTGATTGTGTTATAGTAACACACAGTATAGTAACACCATCTCATTCACAGACTCTAGGCTTCACTTCCACCTGCAAACAGAGGCATCTTGTGAAAGTTTAGATGACCACAAAGGCTGCTTCTTCCCTACAATGCTCTGAAGAGCAGAAGCATCCACTGGAGACCTCATGTTCTCATGGGCCAATCCTGCTCATACCAGTGCGGTAATTAAGACAGTGCATCCTGGTTTTCAAAACAAAAAATCCAGCAACTTGAGAAGTAGCCAACCAAAAAACAAAACAAAAAGAAAATCTGCTTACTTCCTGTCTTGTATTCATATCGGTCTGAAAATAAAACACTATGCAAGCACAAAAAATGATTACGTTACTCACAGCCTCCAGCTATTCTGACTTCACTGGATGGATGCTTTACAAGCATTGATTGTTCTTGGAGATAGCCTGAGACTTGTTTCTCAGAGAGATTATTATATATTCTTGCTATGAGGGGGAAAAAAGCTCTGATATTGCCATGTCATCTTTCTAGTGGTATCACGTATGCAATACACTATGGAGGTGTGAGAGTGAAGAAAACAAACAACAAGCCAGCTATATGACTAGTGGCACTGAACCAGCTATACTACGCACCCAAGAGGCTATGGTTAACTCATGGTTGACTCCAGCTCCACCTCTGCACTCCCTCCTGGTTCTCTGGACCTTTATACTCTGCCCTCCAGAAGACTAAACCTTTCAATTTGGTTGCAAAAAGAAATATCCCTGCTTCACGCCTTCCATCACCTGCCTCCATTCCACAGTTTCATTTACTGAAAACACTCACGCACTCACGGTGTTAACAAAGCTGACTCCTTTGGAGGAGCTGCTCCTGCAAGCTTTCTGAAGCTGGAGGAGTGGCTCCTTGCCTTCACCACTTATATTAACCAAACTCCTGTAGAGATGACAGCAGCTTTTCTGCAGACTACTCTGAACTCAGACCTCTATGATGAGACTCACTGCTTATGTGACTGATGTACAAATAGAAGTGTGCAGAAGCAATTGATGATGGGGTGCTCTCCAAAAGTAAGTGCAAAGCTCTTCATCCATGTGGTTGGCAATAAGCTCACTCCACAAGACAATATTTAAATGCTCAAGAATATGTCAAGTACAAATATTGCAATATATGGCACTACAATTTTCCAGTTTCAGGAAACATGAAACAATAACAAAGAAGTGTTTTGAATCCTCTGGTGTTGCTTAGGTTGGTAACTTACGAGCAAATTTCCATGCCTCGTAGCTCTGAATATCAAAAGCAGTTCCTCTTCATAAATGGCCTTTTTGGACAGGAACAAAACTTGTTGGTGATGGAGAGCACTTGGCTTGATTCAGTAGGGCAAGGAGCTAGACCTGGGCAACTACATATTATGACTCAGTGAGAACAAATGCTTCATCCACCTCTCTGTGGATTCTACCAAACATCTAGCTGTATTGGCAGGGGTTACAGTGGGCCACACTCAGCAGTATCCATTGGTCTTATTGGAAAGGCTGTGACAGCCATAGAGAGCAAAGAGCAGGTTATGGGGCTACTTTCTTCTTCTCACCAGAACTTGCACCAGTATATACTTGCACTAGTACTTCCTAGTTCCACCTTTCCCAAGTATCCTTTCCAAAAAGGATAATCAGTAGAAGTAGGGTGATTACCAAAGGTGTTCACAGGTTGAACAAGGAGATGCCTCAGAGTTTCATTTTTCTGGCTAGATTGAATCAAGAGAACAGGTTGCCTACATGATATCACCATGGATCAAGACTGCACCAGCTGTCCACATTCAGACTGCTCTGGAAAACATGATTTTGTAAACTCAGACGGCACAAAGGTGGAAAGCTAAAACTAAGGAATTGACAAAACATGGCAAGAGAAATCACAGTCTCTACAAAATAATCACATTAACTATCTCAGATTTTGTTTTCATGTTTCTTCTAAGCCACAATTTGCAGGACAGTTAGTTATTACCTTCAAGTAAGTCTTCAAGTGTCTGGACAAAATGACTTTTTCTTTGGTGTCTGGCACAGCTGATAACAAAACTCTCATTTCTTGATTTGCAGAGATGTCCTTTAAACGAAAGACTTTTCCCAAAAGAGGTTATGCCAGCAGCAGCCTGTTAACACAAACAAGCACATCAACATTTACATGAGATTGCAACCTCCTCCCTGCACCCTGGTTGGTGATCGTTGATCTAAGTCTTATTTACCCTGCCTGGCAATGACAGATACATTATGTTAGACATAACACGTATGCTGGACATTAGGAAGAACTTCTTTTCAGAAAGAGTGGTGAGGCATTGGAATAGGCTGCCCAGGGAGGTGGTGGAGTCACCCTCCTTGGAGGTGTTAGAGGAAAGAGTAGATGTAATACTTAAGGACATGGCTTAGTGGGCAATACTGGGGTAGGTGGACAGTTGGACTAGAGGTCTTAGAGGTTTTTTCCAACCCTAATAATTCTATGATTCTGTGGTTTCAGTGTTGCATTCAGCCCACCTGTTTTGTGCCAAGGTTCGAGAGACACATACAAACTTTGCCTATTTAACATCCCAAATTTTGGGCCCTGTGTGGACTAAGCTCCTTGCTTTGTCATTCTGTTGTTTCACAGGAAATATAGCAGCAGGAAAGGACAAAGAAGAACGGTCTGTATTTCTAGTCAGCTCCAGCTCCCTTCAACTTTAAGGTCACTCCTCTGGAGATGATGAAGGGCCTGGATATTCAATAACATTTTTAATTAAAGTTCTTCTGATTATGTAAGTCATGTGGGGAAGTTCATAGCCTTCCATTCTGGAATTGAAAGTTATCTAAGGTCTCTCAAAGCCACAGAAATAAGAACTAGAGCCAAGCAGGTCATTTGCAATCAATTTTTTTTTTCATTAATTTCACCTTTGTCTGAGAATTCTCTATAAACAGATTGAAGAAATTTGTTCATTATTTATATTCAATAGTAATGCCAGTAAATAACTTCCTATCTGCAGAGCAGTCCATTATAAATTATAACATGCAATATGTGCCTTATCCATCTACTTCCCTTTTTTTTTCCCTGGTAAGGGGAGATAGGTAAAAAAGCAACGCAGGGTAAGTTTTACAAGAAAATGAACTATTTGTAATTCACTCTTTGTCAGTACATGAGCATCTCTGATTAAAATTTACTAGGTGAGCCCTTGTGCTTGTAGAGCTTGAATGAATGCAAAAGTCAAAAATAGAAGGACAGCTGAACTCAATCAAATCAAAAGTCTCAAATTCAAATTATCACATAGACTTTTCCCGCATTCCACTCTGCTCCACAGCAAATAGAAACTACATAGAGCAGCTTCAGGTCCTGGGTGTTCTCATGAGCCTTCCTCTTATTTTTTCCAGCTACTTGACTGAACGATCTCCACACTCAGCAGAAACCATGATGCTGTCAATTTTTAAAAAACAGTCTTTTGTTGAAGCTAGAAGATTTTAATATGAAATTAGAAGAGTTCCTTTCCTTACCTCCACCCTCTGCCAAGCATGGAACCAAACCATGATATGCCCACCTAAGCATCAGTCCCTGATGTACCTAAACAAGCCCTGCTATCTACTGAAGAGGTAGGTGTGATCAGTAGGATGTGCACAAACATGTGCAGAGCTAGGGAAATCTGTGGCATCCTAAGTATACACTGTGTATACTCTGTTTGTTAGTAGCAGACCCTACGTGCCTCAGTTCTGCTCTTTACATTCTCTGTAACGGTCCTACACGGTGTATTTCTACATAACATGGACAAACATTCCATTTGAACCATGTCATCTACCTAGTCTCCAGATGGTGAGACAGTCCATGTGCTTACAGCACCTGGACCACACTGTGGTTAGCTCCAGCTGCAGGGGAAATACTTACCAGGACAGAATCTATCCTGTGTAAGCCTAGAAAGACTGAATTTCCTTCTCAAAGTGTGAATTCTTTTGCAATACATTGCAAATGTGCTCCAAATAACTCTTCTAGGAAAAGCATTTACTATGGATAAATATTAGATGTTCCTACTTAGTAGTAATTTGTTCAAAGTTTGCCTTGCCTCGAGATCTCGAGGCAGAAGGTAGAAAACTAAGAAAAATGTCAAAGGTGATTCTTCTTCTTCTCTGAAAGAAACGCACTTTTGTAATTAGACATTCTGATCCTAATCCAGCACAAGCACTTCTGCTGAAAATCAAACTTTGTAATGTATGGAATGATTTGAATGCCCAGTTGCTTCTTTAAAAATAAAAGTATAAACATGGCCATATCCAGCGTGGCCCAATGCCTGCACAATCATGACCACAGGATGTCAGTTTCCGCACTGTTGTAGAATAATGTAATTTTGCAGACACATTCAACTCCTTTGTGCCTCAGTGTGAGAGATAATGACTGTTCACTGGAGGCCAGATCTTGCACACCTTAAACAGATGAGCCGTCCTCATTGATTTCAGGCTGTCATCGTATGCTCTTCCACCTCCTCATGTAGTCTGCATCAGCACATGTGCTCGGAGTGTGTTTGCTGGGTTAGGCTGAAGATCAGAAGTAGCAGTCGCAACGGAGCTGTCTGTACACAGTGCACTGGGGAGGAGGTGTTGGAGTGGAGATGTCAAAAAGTGATGAGTCTTAAAAATATTTTTATCTCACGCTCTACTACAAGCTTTGCTTCCCGCAAGTGAACACCAGCACAACGGAGATGCTTTCATACTAACTCCAAGCAGTCTGCATGACAAAAGTCTTTGTACCCATGTGGGATATCAAAGCACTCTCTGTGCTTAAAAGAAAACGTTACAAAATTTTAGTGTTGTTGAGTTGCTTGGGCTCATTCACTCACACCCCTGCTCTTGTGGCCTTTTGAATTCACTTTCCACCAAAACATTCGGGCTTAATATTCTCAAAATAGCTGTTGGCAGGAAATGTTAGAGTTCTTAGTCTGAGGAATAACAGGGCTGCCTGTTGATCTACACCACCGAGGGTGGGACTCTCATTCTGTGTGCCTCTCCCAGCAGCTCCCACGAGGTTGGCAGTGACATTGGGAGTGTGCGGATGGCTGCAAAACCTCATCAGCCACCCAGTGCAGCTCACAGGTGTGGTGTGAAACATGCAAGACACGATCTTGTTATCAGCAAAATGCCCTCAACACCTCCTGAGCAGAAATAAAGATTGGCAGCTGGGATTGGCTTATCCTTTCTTGCATGGGAACGCATTCCAGTGTTCACTGAGGCTGGTGGAAAGACTTTCCTGGACTAGGTGTGCTTTGGAACAAGCCTAGTTTATTCATCTCATGTTTTTGCTTCAGAAAATAATTAATGGCACTTGATCTTAATTGTCAGCAGATCTGCTTTCACTATTTGCTTTTGAAATTATATACTAATGTAGCCTATGAAGTTCCTGAACAAGTAAGAATGGCCCAGGCATCTCCTTCCCTGACCTGATTTTACCTCTGCCCCATACAAACCTTTTCCTCTCATGTTTGATGCTGACATTGGAAGTTACAAACAACAGAATTTCTTGTTACTGGTGATGAGATCTAGAATCATAGAATTGTTTGAGTTGGAAGGGACCCATACAGGCCATGTAGTTCAACTCCCCTGCAATGAACGGGGACACCTATAGGGTGCTCAGAGCCACACCAGCCTGAGCTCTGAATGTTTCCAGGGAGGGGGCTTCCACCATCTCTCTAGGCAACCTGTGCCACTGCCTCACCACCCTTTCAGAAAAAAAAAAAACAAAAAACTTTTTCTTATGTCCAATCTAAATCTCCCCTCTTTTAGTTTGAAACAATTTCCCCTTGTCCTGTCACAACAGATCTTGCTGAAGAGTCTGCCCCTCTTTCTTACAGCCTCCCTTTAGATACTGCTCTCAGGTCTCCCTGGAGCCTTCTCTTCTCCAGGCTGAACAGCCCCAGCTCTCTCAGTCTGTCCTTGCAAGGAAGGTGTTCCATCTCTTGAATCATCAACAGTATTAAAGAAGACCTTCCCTGCCTCAGCAAGACTTACTGGAGGAGCCACCAACAGCCTCTGACCTGTACCTCGAGTTAAGCCTGTCAGTTTCCCTATTTCCTCCCCTGCTTCATGAATCAAGAGCCACACTTAGTGGCCAACCAAGCCTGCAACTCTGCACAAACTCAAAACTGCTCAGATCAGAGCAGCAGGTCCAGGGGGCCATTGCCTTTCAATAACCGTACTGGCTGCTGATGACTTCCAAGCAACCTGGAAACTTTCCTGCTGCTGTCATACTGCACACACAAACAAAATGAAAAGTCTTCTGAAGTTTAGGGTGCAATTACATCTTGCCAGAAACATAACTTTTCAAGTCAAAGTGATCTGTGAGAAAAAAGCTGGGCTAGGGCACACTGCAACTCCATCAGAAAATGAAAAGACGCCCAAATCATCACGTTGCAAGTGTTCTGGCCACCCCTACGGGCAGTCGCTGTTTGAAAGACAGACATGGGAGAGAAAGGATGGATCTTTACACTGTCCTCTCACAGAATCAAGTGTGGGGAAAATAAGAGGTGTCATGGCTGCTGCTGACCTTAAAGCCAATGGACATGGAGCATTAAGTGGGATTTTCATGGGTGGCTTTCTGCATCTTCAGGTGCCTAAGCGTCTCAAATCTGCCCTTAAGCTGTTCATGGCAAGGCTGCCCTGGTGCCTGGCACACTGCTATGGGGACAGCAGTGACACCTCCTCATGTAGAGGCTCCAAGCTGCAGTATGGTGGCTCAGGAGCTGTGTGCAAGCCCAGCAGATCCACGCTGTGACCACCACGAGCTGCTGGAAGAAAGCCACTCCCAGCTATTGTTTTGGCATGGTTTCACTCACTGCTGCAAGCACTTCCCACATTTCTGAGCACAGCAGTCACCTTCTTTCTTATATTAAAACCAGATACAGGTCAGATACGGCAACGGTTGACATGATGCACTTGCTTTCCAAGGCTTAGCACCTTGGCCATCACAGGAACGCTGCTCTGCTCCCTGCCAGAGCTGAATTAACAGGCGAGAGACTGCCAGACAGTCAGATTGCGGTCAGCGCAGAGGGGAAGAAACAGGCTGTGCCCAGCTTATTGCAGGCCTGATAACAGAAATTGCCAGCTCCATGATGAGTGGAGAAACTGACAGACATCGTGCTAAGCCCTGAAG